TTTGGTAGATCGTGTGGTTCAAATTGGATTTTCTAGTTGAGAACAGTCTTGTAGCTTTCGATTCCCAAAATTTCAGTTATGGCAGTAAGTTGAAAATCGTGTCCGATATGTGACAATTAGTTCATCACATGTTATAAATGTCATGCTGACCCGGAGGTTTAATGCCCGCTTTTCATGTATGAGGGCACGGTTTCGAAACCTACCAATGGCAAGCACCAATGTGACTTTTTCCGAGTTATATGTACTTTCTAAGATTATTTAGACACCACTTACAAATGGTGAAGGAAAACGTCGTGAGGAAACTTTTATAATTTCTAATTATACGTTTGTAATCGCCAACTCGTATTGAGCAACCATTTTAACCATGTCAGCAGTTTCCACTGATAGGCTGTTGATAATAATGATGGTGATGATATTATAAAGGAATACAATAAAGGAATAAAATGAAAACAAAGTTAGTGTCACATTTGATACGTGCAGCTGTCTCTAGCTTCAGAAAATAAATGATGTTACACCTATTACCACGTGACCTTTTAGCACACCACCTCTGGTTTCACAAGCCTCAATTTCAAAGCAACTTGGTGAATAATTCCGTCTGCCTACAAAATTGTGTATATGCAGGCACTTTACGTTAGATGGACGAAACGCAGTGAAACCTGTCAAGTGGTTTCAGATACATATCACCAGCAAACACGAGATGTCAGCCAAAGGGAATGAGAATTTGATTGCTGATTTTAGCCTGAATCGTTGTTTATACCTATTAAAGTGCTCCCTGACCGGGAGCATTCACGTGTAATGTAACATTATAGATTCGACTTTGAGCATTACATTACAATACCTCCCTGACTAACGAGTATTTGTGTGTAATGGAACATATTAATTCGACTTTGAGCATTGATGTTGCAAGATGTATCAAGATATCACACATTGTATCATTACAAGGTGCGCATGGTAATTCTCGGTTCTCCTCCTTCACTGATGTAATGCTCAGATTCGTAACGTTACATTACCAGGAGCAGTCGCTCCTGGTGAGGGAGGACCTTTATGCATCTAAATTGTAAATATGACGTGTGTAATTTTGTATTCGGAATTGTGACCGATGTTTGGATGTAATATTGATCACAAGTTCAAAATGGATTAATAACATAATATTGTAGAAGGCATGAGTTTTGTGAGTAACTATTAAATTTCTTGCTTATTCTCTTCTATAATCTTCAATTGATAATAAGACAGCTTCACGTGAGAGAGAGAGGTTAACAGGGGGAATTCAACACCCATTTCTCAAAAGGTCAGCATCGCACGTGACGCCTCTAGTACAGGCCCACAACACGCATCCTTGTGTGGTGCTGATCCATCTGCTCCTTTTGCTTCTGTCCTGTTAAAAGTACTTCTATAATCTAATTTAAATAAAATTAACTTAACTAAAACTTCGACGTCTTCCAGCTCATTATAGACTTCTCTATCTATGAGTACATATGTACGTACATCTTGAAAGAAATGTATACGGACTTCTTATAGTCTACACGGGATGAGTTTCTAGAGAACACGTAGTGATGTGATTTGTGAGCTCACTAACATGAGCTACTGCAAACTGTAGCTGAAAGCAGACCAACTCAAAACTTGGCTAACTAGAAGCTAATGTGTAGCGCTCAAGCTTAAACTAGTAAGCGAATACGGTTGAGTGATTTACTCCTAACATGTTTCAATGTATATCTTGGTGTGTTTATACGTCAACTAAATATTAGGTATCTTTGTAAGTTTGGCTGACCATAATGAAGATTGTTAACGTTTTGAGAAAAATGTGTAGCTATGAAGCCTTCAATGTTGCGAATTGATCTGTATACTTAGTTTTGTCGTACAATCAAAATTGGCCGAAATATATGAGTTTTAAGTTTTGATGACTTGCATTTTTCATGCAAAGTTCGAGTTCTACTGTGACGTCATACCACACCGTCCCATTGTACGTTTTTAATATACTGATAGGTTTACTAAGTTAAGCTATTTTTGATACAAATGCGTAGGTACTTTTTAATTTTACGTTACAGTACTAAACATTTGTAGATTGTTTATTGTACATTTAGAGGTATGTAGGAATCGTAGTAATTGGCATTCCATAGTCTCTGCCTACCCCCATGGGAGATAGGCGTGAAGTTAAGTATGTATGTATATATATATGTATATACCTAACATTCTCCGTTGTTTATGTATTAGATACGCTTTGTAAAATATGAAAGCTATTGTAAATGTTATAGATTTTAATAATTTAATATGTTTGTATCTATGTGTGTGTTATTATAAATGCGTAGATTGTGTCTCAAATAAGTAATGATTCATTCACATTTTGTCCATTTGTTTGTGTGTTCATACTATACCATAGTAGGTAATTCATTTATATCTTCGAATTTGTATCTTTCATTCACAGTAGTGATGTCATTTTTTGTGTTTTTTCAAAATTTGATAACACAACAAGACTGTGCACTGCGCTCAATCATAATACTCATAACACTCATGATTCTTTTATGCAGATTTAAAAGAAATAAACAGAGACATTTCCAACATCAACCTTTAATGAAATTATAAATGATTAATTAATAAATTACTTTACAAAGAATTACCTATTTACATTGAGTAACCTAACTTATGTATAATATTTACGTGAACATACAAAATACACAAAAATGTGATAGTTTATTAAGATTTACATTTGTATGAAATGTTGAATTCACTAGAAAATATTGTTTGTTAGTAATTTTACCACAAATTGAAACAAAGGTTTCATGCTTATACAAATTTTAAATAAAGATATTTTGGGAGGTAAAACTATTTTTTTGAAAGTAGTTTAAGTTGTGTTTTTCAGTTTTCAAAGACAATTATAGCCCATAGGACTTAAATGTATAACTCTAACACGAATAACATGTCAGCATATCCTTTTTGTGACCAAAAATGTACTTTAAAATGTTCGTAAGCTTTACCCAGTTTCAAGCGCTAAGAAAAATACAGCATAATATTTCAACAAAATGTATCGAGGAAATTCTTAAAAGCAGTTATTTTTCACTTATTCGATACTATCTGTATCCTATTGGCGTACGTCCAAAGAACTGTTACTGTCTCAACGAATGGTATTTAACAATTTTTATGTATACCCCTGTTGACATAGCTTTGGGATCCACATAAGTAATTTAATGTCCCTTTTGTCATTTTCCTCTTGTCACGTCATCAAATGATTTTTTATATTTGAGTTCATAGACTTGTTGGTTTACCGAAAGCTAGTGCCTTTTTCTCGTAGTAACTTATGAATGATACAACAGACTATTGTACAAAATCACAATGTAGGTAAGGTACAACTCAAACCTGGCTGATAATATAATCAGCAATCAAAGTAAATATTACAATGAAGAAACTTTTGTGGTAAAATTAGCTCCTAAATTGTTTAATTTACCTCTAAACAATCTGATTGAAACATTAGCATTTAGGATTGTTTGTGCATTAACAGAATATCTAATATTAACACAACCTCAGAGTTGTATGTAGTGTTTCAATTAAACGCTATGTTTGCGGTCAGTGCTGGGATGTTTACCCACAAAATACTTGAGCTACAAAACAAAATAGTTTTAAATGGAGGAAATAAACGTTCACTTGATAATGGACGGGGCCCTATTTTACTGATTCAATTTACCCTTCAAATGTGCTCGGGTATACCTATTGTGCCATCGCGGTACTTTTTATTTATGTTATCTTTATTTAGGGTAACGATTTTTAAACCAGTTACTGCTCACATGACCTACAAAAGAGTTTATAAGATTTTCTAAAATGTCTCTTGACTTTTTCTAAGCTTTCCCGTTCCTGTGTTAGTAGATCAAGAAGGTTAGAATTGTCTCCGTATTACTGCAGTTTATGCATGCGACGTTCACTGTGCGAATAATGGAACTATTGAACTGTGACGATAATTTACATTTTTATTATTCCTCTACATCGAGTCACCGCAAAGACTGCGTACTATAGTGTGAATAAATTGTTGATAAAATTATGCAAACAATATTTGTTGCGAATCTATATTTTACACTATGTACAAGATAGATACAGTGGTGGATAAGGATAAGCCATAGCCACATGAACCGATTACTTGCCAAAGTTACTTTTTAACACAATAATGTCTATTGATTGTTGTCATATTCATTTCAATACCTCGATGATCTCGAACTGAACCTTAAAGATATCTTATGTTTTTGCTATTGAACGTCATAGTAACGTATTTACCGTACTATGGTATATCAGGTACCTCAGAAGCCATATAAAAATGAGGCATAATTGCGCTCTATCGTTCACGTTCGACGTGTAAATTACAACCAGAAAGTTCCTGGGTTATCTGCAACGTTGAAAAGAACTTAAATCCCTCTTACAATCAGGCTCTTAGTTTGAAAAACATACACTTATCTCTTGTCTCGTCCATTATCATCAAGTGAGCGTTTTTCTATCATTATAGTGACATTGGCAAAAGACATCTTATCATTATAATTTTTACATAATACATCCAAATTCACATTCCTCTTAATAATTATTATGTACTTGTATTATATACAACTGATTTATTTTATGAATATCTCAAATATTTACATAAAGTTCTTCAATAGATCTGCAACAATATAAATCAAGTTTCACGATGAGAAAAATCCAAGTTTCCTTTTAGAAAAGTATCCTACGATAAAATTTCATTTCCCAAGACAAATTGCCTATCGTAATTATACTTATAGTTTATATCACATTTTTTACATAGAATTATATTACTATTTACATTTTCATAAGGTCTTTCGGATTCAAGAAGCGAATGTATTTACATAAGGATGCTCATTTTAGTTTCTGGTTGAGTTTTATTTACATTCTTAGTACTCATACAATATGAATGTTTCATGAAAATAATGGAGCTTAGTAAACAAGAATTTTAATATTCCTTTAAGAAGAACAAAGTAAACATATTATATACGTCTCCATTCAGTTAGTATTTACAGTTGCGTGGTCCATATTAATACCATAAAAGCTGACAGAAAGACGGGAACGTTTGAGCCGATCGATGTCGTTTTAGAAGATTGGATTAAGTTTCTGTAATCTTTCGCCTCATTTTGTGACGGGTAGGTGTACGTCCTGTCGGTCACACTTTTAACGTCCTGCGGGCATGGCAACGTTTCCACTGGGATCTGAAGTAATGTCCTCTCATTTTCACCCTTAACAGCTTTTGGTTCATCAACGTAAGCGTCGTCTGTTTCGTCTTGAAAAAAATCATCCGGATTATCCGAATAATCTTTTATTTGACTTTTGTCATCGCTATCGTACAAATTGTTTGATCCGATAACGCTCCTTTCGAAATAAGTAAAGTGTGAATTTAACGAAGGCTCCACGTTGAATTTGCAAATGAAATTTTCGAGAGATGTTCGTACTTTGACGCTTTTGGCCTCGTGACGAAGCTTATGCATCCATGCGAGATGACAGTCGCACGGGAATTCGTTGCCTGTAACAATTGACGCGTTAATTAATTCCCTAATTGGAGTAATGACGATGTTTGAGAGTGCCGTCTGATGAAACTAATTGATTTTTATTCGATTATTGAAAATATTTCTCCTATAACGAAATAATATTCGTATCAAAACAAATTAATTAAATCCATACAATTTAAGACGAATTAAAATAAATTGTAGTTTACGTACCTTCCAAGTAAATGTAGCTATTTGGATTCTTCATGTTGTCGTAGATTGGGTGGAGGTTCTCGGATGTGAACCTCTTTAATTTGTTATGTCTTAGGTCTAAAGCGGCCAGTCCCCTGACCCCTTCAAATAGGCTGCTGGCCAAAGTTACAAGTTTGTTATGACTTAAACTCAACTTCCTTAATTGTGATAATCCATCAAACGTCCTCTGGGCCAAAATATAAATTTCATTATAATCTAGCAACAATGTCTGGAGATTCCACAATTCGGTAAATGTAAATGAATTTAGTTTGGATAATTTGTTTCTTCTTAAATCTAATCGCTTTAGATTTGCAAGTCCATAAAAGCACTCCTTCTTGAGATCGCTTATATTATTTCTATCGAGTTCTAAGTCAATTAAGTTAACTAGATGTTTGAACGCTCCGTCGTGAATGACGGTAATGTTATTACTAGTAAGATATAATTTCTGAAGTGCCGGTAGCTCGTAGAACACTTCAGATTCTAGTTCGACTATTCTGTTCTCATCTAAAGTAAGTATCGTTAAATTTGGCAAATTATAAAACGAATGTTTGCCAAGATAGACTATTTGATTCTTAGTTAAAGTCATTTCTTGTACAGATGTTACGTTGACGAATGTGTAGCTCTCTATCTTGTGTATCGAGCTGTACTTGATACTGAAGTGTTTAACCTTTCTCAAGTATCTTAGGACTTTTGATGGTACAAAGTCTAGTCCTCCATCTGCTCTTACATTGAAGGCTAGGGTTTCTATATTGGATTGGGATGTGAAGCTTGCCCATAGTGGGTCCGTTCTCTCTATCCCTCCATTGAAGACCCAGCATTCTGTTTTCACTGCTTCGTTGATCTCTTGACTGAACTCGCAGTAGCAATGTACTTTTGAGTCTCGATCGCTGATGTCACATATATTTATGGTCGCTGGTAGTATTTTTTCCTTTGTTTTTCTTCTGTTAGCATCAAGTGCTTCTATTGCAAATAGCAACAGTAGCAAGGTAGCGGGTACCTTCGGAGCCCGCATACCTCCTACCTGAAACAAAGACAAACGGAATTAAGTAATTAAATTTTGCCTTCTACTTACATCAAAAGTGGACTCGTGGATTTTATTATTTGTTTTATCTTACGCAGATGCTTTTAATGTTATGTTTTTTGTTGTACTTCAACTTAATTGGGACAAGATATGAGAATATTTTTAATTTTATTATTCTGTTATAACCCTTGTTATATTATGCTGACAAAATTGACATTTGAAGACATTTATAAGAAACAATCGCATACTTGTTTAATAATAGTGTCCAAAAAACTCAAATCACGAATGATAACCGTATATTCATGTAGTCATTAAATAAATACACAAATGTTAAAGCCTACATTTCCCTATCATTTGTTTGCACATTACTTCGATAGTAGTGTATATGTTATAGATATATTAGATACATAGTGTATTTACTGCACAAAGGAAATGTATACGTAATCTATAATATGCATAATTAGTTTAAGCATACCCATGTTCACTATGAGCTTCATTAAATTAGTTACGCTAAACTAAACTAAATGGATAAACAATTAAACACGTCCATCATACTTTGCTAATTTTTATTATTAAAAAAGGAGGACGCTAACAATTTATATAGATAAGAATAACTTTTAATACCAGAACATAAAAAAAAGTTTTACTGCTCTTTTCCACGTAATAACACAAAATACCTAATAATAAAAATAAGTAGCTTCTAAAACGTAATCTCAGTATTAAATTTGTAAGCGAACCTCACAAATGAGTAAGCAGCTTAAGAAGCAATATTATGAAAATAAAAAGAAACCAACATTCGGAGTTTCCAATTACAAATACCGGATTTCAGAGGCGATTAAGAAAAATGTATAATGAATGTTTTGAAGGCATTTTAATTAAATTATTATAATATGAACCGTTTGCTTTTATTATGTCCCGCTTTGATTTTCGAAGCCCGGAAATGGTACAGATAAAAAATGAAATGTAATTATTCGATATTCTTTTAATTGGACGTTTGCAGTCAGTTGCTCTAATTCTTTTTTTCAATGGCTGAACGTAATTAATTGCCCAGTGTAGACGTATGAAGATTAATAAAAAGACTGACCAGTGTTGAAAATGGAAAAACGAATATGTCAGCGTTCTGTGAAGTATAATTAACGTTACCTTGGAAAATGAGGATTTATGTTACTTTGATCGGAATCGCTGATTATTTAATTTAGTTGTAGGAGAGCTATGCTTCGGCACGAATGGGCCGGCTCGACCGGAGTGATACCACGGCCTCACAGAAAACCGACGTGAAGCAACGCTTGCGTCGTCTTTTGTCATGTAATTGAGGTTACCGGAGGCCCAGCTACCTCCCCCTTCCCTAATCACCCCAATCCCTGAATCTCCAACAATCCTCAAACTACTAATCCCCAAAAGGCCGGTAACACACTTGTAACGCTTCTGGTGTTCCAGGTGTCTATCACCATAGGGCGACGCCGATTGCGTACCATCAGGTGATCCGTCTGATCGTTTACGGAAAATGCCAAAAAAAACGTTACCTTGGAAAATGAGGAATTACGTTACTTTGATCGGAATCGCTGATAGTTTTAACGGTAATTGGAAAATTGTTCATTGGGTATTTTAATGTTATTATTGTTGTAGGTGGGTATGTTTAAAGCTGGTAATTTGCTCTTTGTTTTTTATGAGTATAATGCACATTTACCTTATTTCATACTTTTTTATTGCTTTATCCTTAACATTTGTTTATAATTATATTATTTCTAAGTTCTTCATAACTTACTTTTCACCTATAAAATGCGCGCACTGTGACTCAGTACTAGTAGAGCTATTTTCAGTATATTTTTTGCGTGAGTAACCCGTCATTTGAAGTTCATTCATGGTATCATTCGTTAGCATGTTTGTCATTTATTCCGTGCTTACATATAACGCTTGATCTCTAGTATATATTTTTTGACAAAGTCCATAAAATAACAACACTTAAAGTCTTTGAAGTTTATAATAACAGAAATTTAAGTGAAACTATACATTTAAAGCTATTCATGAATAACCATGTCCAACTCAAAAAACGAAAATCTAAATATTGAGAGTGCAAATAAACAGTTCAACGTTTATACGCGTTGTGTGGCGATGCATTTTTATGAATGAGTTATCTCTTCAATTTGCAACAACAAACACTGCACAGTTGTCGACAAAATGAAACGTTGACATCTACGTATGTGTGTGTGTATATATTTTCGACATATCGGTGTTGTTAAAGTAATAAAATAGAACGTCGATAACTTTCGTTGTATTTTTTATTTTTTCGGCCAGTTTCTGTTTTTATGTATTTCTTGATTTGTTTTTTTTTTGGGTTCTTTCGTTTTTTTAATGTTTCTTGAAATGAGGGCGTTATAATTATAACACCTAGAAGTCTTTGGTTCAGTAGTTATGTTACCTACTTTTATTATTATTTACATGGTTAAATGATGTTTTCAAAATAAGCACTCCAGCAATTGTAGCCAAATGCCATTTAGCGCGTGTCTACATGTAGAATAGAAAAGCAAATTATATGGAATTGACGTAAATTTTGACACTTGCCAGTGTTATCCCCATACATTTAGTTTTCTACTCTCTTTGTAGACAAGCGCTAAAGTGGCGTTTGGCTACAGGCACTGGTGCGATATTATTTCTCAATAGAGATTGCAAACCAATAATTGAAAGAAGAACACGCATGTATGCGTTGTTTCTAATAGATATGATTCAAAATATAATTATCATTATTCTATATTTAAATTTCAATATTTAAAAACACTAGTCTATTTAATTTAAAATAATGCATAAAAATCGTTCTCCACACAACAATACAATAAAATATTACAAAGCTATTATAAATGCGAAATAATAAAATTTAAAACAAACTATTTTTAATTCCCAAATCGGCTTGAAACTCAAAACCTCATAATTACAATGTCGTTCGTATGTCATCCAGAATGGACATTAAAAGGTCAGACTTTGTTAATTAACGTGGTTTTACAAAGTTCAAACTTATGTTTAATATGATTTAGTCAGTTTTTCGTTTAAGCGGCTCTTGGGATTGACAAAGTATAAATTTCATATAGTAGGAATTTTTTATGTGTACTTAGATATATATTTTAATTGGAAAACCTTTATTTTCTTGCACATAGTAATGATTTTTTACCTACCATTCATTATTTTTTAATAAAAGGTAGGTACTTAGGTGTACCAACTTACGTAGGTATGTAAAAGAGAAAGTGTTTTTACGAATGATAATTTCAAGCCCGAAAGCATGCTTCAATTGACCACTAGTCACTTAGTACTCACGTAGTATTGTGTAGGAATGTTGCTCAAAATTAGCATACTCATTTCGCATATGCTTGAGACGATTCCTATCGATCGATTTTTTAACATTTTTGAACATGCTCGATGCTTTTTAACATGCCGTTTACGAGCATGTACAATTTGTGAACACTTAAAATTTCATAATTATAATTTTCTAACTCGCACATTAAATTCCAATGAAACATCTTCTCTTTTCAATTTCCCTTTCTCCTACAACTAATTTTCTAAGGAAACTATCCAAAATACATATCACTCTCTGTCGTCCAAGCTCTACCCTGGATAACAACTCCTGCAGATGTACTCATAGCGGACGAATTCACCACATTTATCACGTTCCTTATCCACGCTGTTATGATTAAATGCCTCCACCGTTAAGTCTTGGATTTAGGAACGGTGAATTAATCAGCGCCTGGATTTCAGTTTATGGACTGTTTTGTTATTTAATAGCCTGTTTATGGTTGTGATGTTTCATTTGAGACATTTGATAAGGATTAGGGTAATTTTGTTAAGTCAGTCACGACATTACCTTGGGTATTGTTTGGTCTGGTTAATCCTATTTTCGTAGCGAAATTAATAGGGAAACACTAATGGTTGTACTAAAAATAGCTTTATTGTTTAGGAGATTAGCAACTATTTAAATTTTTTATTAGTTTCAATGAGGCTAATGTATTTCATTTGACCAAGTAATTTGGTCGAAGTAGTTTATTGGAATGAAGATCTTTACTTTAACATTAAAGTTATAATTGAAACACTGAACCTTCACATGTATTTATAGCCACCTTCACCAATGCGCCCTTGAGATATATCATAAAACAAGATTGTCCCACAAATAGATACTAGCCAACTTAGATAATGTCCACTAAAAATCATATACCATTAAATTTACGAAGCGAGGCAGCCGTTCCACTTGAGCACTTAACCTTCAGCTTTATTTCATTTTCAAGTCTTCTACAAGATAAAAAAGCTAAAGACGATGACAATTCTAAAATTAACCGTCCGTATAAAAACAAATAATAAATCTTATATCAATTGTGAAAGCGTTCTGTATTTCATATTCAATTGAAACTTGAGATTTTATATAGAAAGGCGTACATTATATGAGTCGTACCTCGACGTCATACGAGGTACGTTTCGAAATGCGAGAAGGTGTTGTACATACATTTTAATATTTCTTCACTCTATTCGGCGATGCCGAAGTGTTTTCGCTAACATCCATCACACGCGAGTCTGCGTCAACATTCGACCCAATTCGATTTTTATGTTAGTGCGAATTTCACTTACTAATGGTCGAATGATTGAACGGAATATGCTGCTTATGACTTGAATATTATATAAGGTGCTAGTCGGCGCCGGGGAAATATTTTACTCGTTCCCCGTTTTGAGCTATTCAAGTGAGAAATTGCAGTTTTTTTATCGGCGCTACGTTTGTGTTATTAATAAGAATGTGCCTATATTTTTCAAGCGCAATGTTTTGTTTTCTTGTTCCTGTCTAAGGGACTTAAACAAAGGCTTTTTGAAGTAAATCGTCGTATTGTAAAGTTAATGTTCTGAATTGTACCATCTACAACTACCGTATTTTCGTCATGGTTCGTTTCTTAATCATTTGAAAAAGTAATAATCACGTTTTTGGGTCAATAAATATATAAACAACATATCTATTAAATGTTGAGATCAAA